TTTTTAAACTGTTCAATCAAATATGTTAACTCTTCTAAGCAACCACTAACTTTTCTAATACAATTTTTCAAATACCGAGAGTCGTAATTCTATCATAGCGTTAAATACGAGATAGTTTTTAAGCATTGAATATAATGAGTTCATTAAATACAGTAATCGTCACTTTCACGTAAAAGTAATATTAATTTGTTCTTCGTTTTACTTTAAATATTTCTGTCTCTTTCTTTAGAATGTTGAAGAAGTTCCGCTTTTTTGTCTATATCGGATTAGCATTAATACGTAAATGAGCCACGTTTCGTTTACTTAATAGCACGTAATTAGGCTTCTAATTGTAAGTTAAGTATTTCAGTTCGACCGTAACAGACGCACGGTGTTAAGCGCTGTTTCCAACCTAATGCGACCTAAATTGCGAATTTAGAAAGCAGAATTTATTCTCCATAATATACATCGGCTAATGGCTTTTTAAATCGAATGAAACTCGTCTGTGCGATAAATATGTAAGAGCCATTCAATTGCGATTAATTGAATTTAAACAAATCAAAAAAACTAAAGAAAAAAGGGAAAAGCAAAAAATGATAGAAGCATACAACAAAGCTTGAAAGTATTTTCATTTAAGTTGAAAAGAACGCCGATACAATGAATGGAAAGAGCGAACTTTTCTTCTCTTTCCTCTCTTTTTTTCACAGTGAAACGCTGGTTACGGCTATATACTATCGAACGAGGCAGAGAATTCGACGGCTTTCTTGTTAATTTATATCCTTTTATCGAAAATTTCATCGATCACCCTATCCGCGTTATTTTATGGATTATTATTATGAATAATACGCACAGGCGATAGGTATACTATGTACATCGATATATGACACAGACGATATTTAACTTTATTTTAATCCCCGACACGCGAGATAATACATCATTCTCTTTTCATGTAATGAATTTATCACAATAAAAGTATTAAACGTTAATTTCAATCGATCTGACTAATGTATTTTGACAGGGAATCTAGTAATCTGTTTCGGCGCACATCAATCCATAGAAAATCGATCCGAGCCCGGCAATACGTCGAATTTCGTGTTCCCCGCGGGTATTAGTAACACGAACTTCTGCTAATAACTACTCAGTCATCATATGGGACGTATGGTCGCTAATTAATAAGCTGTTTGATTGGCTAATTAGTTGGCCACGGCTTTTGACGTATCCTACCAACAAGTCGTTTACTGAAACAGCTTGCTTCAGGAAATTTTGTGAAGATTTTTATTCGATTGAAAATTATCCTCTTGCGTAACTTCTAATTATCTGTACTATTTCATTTCAGATGTACTTTTCGACGTCGTGTCGCACCAACCCGTGCAAAATTTTAAGTGCATAATAATTTATCTAATATTTTTAAAAAATTACTTCCATCAATATAATCTTCGTCCATCGTAAAAGTTATCAATATAAGTAAGAATCGATTTTTAAAGGTAGTACTTTAGTAATTTTATGAAAATTTAGTAACATGTATGCAAGATTTCTCATAGAATTGAACTTCTTTATATCTCTGTTCAGATTGAGTACTGCATTACGAGCGTGCTTTTATTACGTAATGTGGAACATTTTAATGTATTCTAATGTGATATGATTGGTTTTGAACTTTGAACGTCTTGTAACAAGTTTAATTCTTCGATATATCGTGATGGAGTTGTTTAATTGAATGTTTAAATGATACATATTTTATCTTTAAAATTGATAAGCATCTGTCTATAGTTGAAAATGATGCAATTAACACACGTATCGGTAAGATTACATTATTTATACTTATTATTTCCAATAGTCAGAATCAATAATCGAATATAGCCGAAGGATTAATGCATATATTAAAACGGTATTTAAAGCATTATTTTACATGCAGATTAATGCCATTTATTGAACGGCTTCGAAGATTTTAATACATTTTAGACATGTAACGTTAACTACGTCGCAATATACATACATTACATTAAATTCAATTTTGCAAACAAATACAGATTGCCAATTCCATTATATGTTACACGAATTTCGAAAAATATTAACCGCAACAACATTTGTGAATTATTATTTGTAGCGCTGTCCATTTAAAATCAGTGGAAATCAACGATTCGTAAACTACAGATCAGGTCAATTAGATCCATTTAATAAATCAAAGTCTATTCTCTTAAATGAAATCGGCGACGATGTATTATTGAACTTGCAGATTTCAAGATTAATCAACCGGATATTATTTAATGGGTTAAATTAGGCTTATTGCCAAACGAAGTGAGTAATTTTTAATTAAAAGTATTTCTGGATATATATAAAGCTAGATGATGGCAATAAAAAATATTCTGACTATAAAACTTTCCCATGCTATTCTATATATGTACTTACGCAGTTTTATAGTTCCAACGTAAACAGTGTACGACATAAACTGACCCATACATAATTTCGTCGCACAGATTCATAACATTACGCAACTTTATATCGAAGACTATCGTGGTATAAAAGATAATCTGACATTCGATTCATATAAATAATTTTTCAAACTCTGTACGTAAACAATACTAAAATACTTTTAACATATGTTGTCACATTATCATATGATCGTTTCAATATATCTGCGTTTATAACTTTTCTCTCTCTCTCTCTCTCTCTCTTATAAATCTTCATATAATAGAATTATTGATTCGTACCTACGCGTTTGTTAGAAAGTTTGGAATCATTGATACGTCAATTTATGAATCTGTATATTATTAAGAACGAGAGATTTAACGAATTATAGCAGTTTCCAATTTGAAATTACTTTTCACTATAGATTTAAATAAATTCTCACTGAATAATTAGCTATATCTATAATACTTATATTTTTTAGCTATATGAAATAAAACGCAAACATAAAGAAATAATAGTATCTCATAAAAAAGCTGGAATCGCCAAAATACTTTAAATAATAATCATAATCCGATTGTTTTACTGCGGTTGAATATACTAATTTAAAGTATATATACACTCGAACATTTATTCATACTTTCTCCATCAAAAAATTCAAGTACGCTTTCCATCGAGTAAGTAACGCCAAATTTTTCGCTAGCTACTTTCGCAATAAAGTTGCCAAATCTGCTACAACTACAATTAAAACACGGTATCAAACTCATATCAAACATTATGAACGGTTTCATTCGTTCTACCTAAAAAGTCCTCAAGCGATCTTCCCCCGTAAAATTTCACCGCGAAACACAGACGTACTCGCTTTAAAGAATGTATTTTTACCTCGATCTACGCCGCACGACCATGAGCAACATTCCCTCGTAGGTAACTATATCGGCTGGTGCTTAAAGTGCGGAGTCTCACGAGTCGTCTCACGGGGCCATTTACAATTTCATCGCGCGACGTGTCAGCCGTGGTGTTACGAGTTTCCCGAACGGTTGTCCGGAGCCACTGGCCAAACTCTCCAGATCGTTAACCCCGGTTAAAAGAGCCCCGGACAGAGATGGTTCGCGAGCGAACGAAAAGACCGACACTGGGCATTTTCTAGGCCATTGAGCCCGTTTGGGTAGAACCGATACGAAAAACACGATTTATCGATTCCAGGAACGAAGCGCTGGCCGTACAGTTTCGGCCCGGTCGTCATGATAACGTATGAACGTTTAAACTGCTCGCATATGCGGACCAATGTTTACCCTGACGGAGAGAATCAGAGTCGCGTAGTCACGGCCCGTGAGCTTTCGGCCCATTCATCGAGTGTTACAAATATGTTAGTCATGGTTAATTGCACCGGAGGTCCGTTTAATGAGAAACAACCTAGTCCATGGGTATTGGGATTCAATTCCTTCCTCCTCTAAATATCAACGAACACCAGCTGTAATCTGTGAATCGCACAGCTCGAATTAATTATTCCCTGCCTTAATACGAGGCAGCGCGATAACGCGCCGTGCCAATGAGCCGCGCTAAATATAAAACGCGCATGTACATGCGAAATACCGTCCGCATGATAAATCCGTGTGATCGATGGATCGCGTGAATATGAATAACGCGCGGTGTCTCGATTAGATTCCACCCTCTTCTCTCTTTTCTATCTGTTATCTCTATCGTTGTCTCTGTTACATCCTTCGTGTCTCTGTTTTCCTTTTGCTTTTTATTTTTTATCAAATTTATACCTCAATGTTATTTCGCGCATCGAATGGAGAATCGAACGAGCAGATTCTTTTTTCCTTTTTCGTCGCGTTTATCCGGTATACTATCATTGGCTGTATCTACACAAAAGCATCGAGCACAACGCTACATGGAAGCGGATTATGGGTGCTCCGCGAAGAATCGCGTCTTTCTTACCACTCGTACCAACAGGTGTGCGAATTTCTCGGAACGCACTTTGTATATTTTTCTTGTGCATCCTAGCTACACGTGTTACGGCTATGTTAGGTTAAATAAGCCCGCGTTCTATTGTAGCCTGCACATTGTCAGGGGTAGAGGGCTAATACCAGAGCTTGCACAATGGTGTAGCGCCAAACTTTTATGAAAGCCCGGCGAAATTTTTCCGTCCCTATTATTCTTTTATGCGCAACGAGGTATCTCGCGTTCTTGGAGGGGAAATATATTCAATTGTTTCCTAACACGGGCTCGTTAAGGAGCATCGGGATAGAAAGGAGGGAAAAAAAAGGAGAGGCAGAAAATAAATTGCCCCCGTAAATTTAGATCCCGTGACAATAACAACGAATCGTCAACAAGCCGACCTTGATTCCGGATAATCTACTTGTTGGACCGAAGTCCGATATTCTGACTCGATATCCCCGGTCGACGGGGCACGTGCTTCTTAATACGCGCTAGTTAAGTGCATCAATGATCGTGTCTTTTTAGCATTGAAATTGCATTGGCTTCACCTGTCCGGCGTAAGAGTAGAAAAATTCGACAACTCAATTTGAATAAATTTCTCGGCCCGCCTACCGAGCACGCGATAAAGTTTTTTCGAGCATAAAATTACCAACTATATTCGGTGTTTTGCGGCTTACCTTCTCTGATCGTCGCACCATAAATTTCTTCGCTTCTTTCCACCGGTCGTCCTTAACGAGATCCTCGTCGATTGTCCATCAGGGATCGCGCGTCGGAACGCGTTACACACACGATCAACGTGTAGCAGCAGATACCGTGGAAAAAAAGAGCGATTTGCATTAAACGTCAACCTGATGTGTTGTGTTACGCTCGATCACACCGATTCCATCGTGAACGAGCTTCGATTATATCGAACGTAAATCTTCGTTTCACTTTCGCTTTGATAGACTGCCAGTATAGATTTTCGTTTAATCGAACTTCGCGTATGTCGGAAGGGAAAAAAGGCGCCTACCCTTGTTCGTCCTACGCGATCGTCTCGTGCCACTTTTTCAATCTTGTCCGAGTGCTAAGCTTTTACGTTTGGCAGCGACATTGCGTCCGGCACCAAGGGTCCAAACTTTTCTCTGGAAGTTCGATCGGCGTTCGTTCGGAAAGGGCCCTGGTCGAATAAGTGTAGCGTTGTTCCACCGCACCAAAGGTATTTCACCTCTCTTTCACCCTTCGTTCTGTTTCCTTTTTTTGCTCTTCGGTTTCCTCCGAGGAAAGATTAGTTTTCTACGGACGATTCAATCGCGAGAAAAAAATACGGCTGAGCTTCGAGACACACCGCTCTCTGTTCGACACTGGAACGAAATTGTCGAGCGGCTTCGAGGGAAAAAGTTTTTCCGTGAAGTTTCGCGGGGTGATGATGGTGGGGGCTTACTCGCCTCCGGTCGTAGAGGGGTGTGCAGCCAGCACGTGACACTTTTTATCGGGGAATCACACGTGTCACGCGAGATTATTGGCCTTTGTGAGCGCCTTGACAAATGGTCCACCGCATATGGCGCGTCGCGCACGACTGAGGCCAGATTTCGCTTCCACCATCCTCTCCCTCTGATCTACCCCCACCAGGCCGTGGCTCCATCCTCTTCTTCGTCCCTCGCCGTTTCCCTGAGTGTCGTCGTTGTAACACGCAGACTCCGTTACGACGATGCTTTTCTTCCCGTGAGACAGCTCTTTGGTCAGGTGCTCCTCTTTTTACGTTCCCGATCAAAGCAACACAGGAAAGCATCTACAGCCAGCTTTCTTATTTTGACCGAGTGCACTAAGTGTATTCTCGATCAGACTCCCCGCGTCTGGACCAACAAGATGTTCTTTGACCCACCGTGAATCGGATAACATGCTCATCGTACGATGCGTTTCCCGCTACCGTCACTGCCCCTCTCCTGTTGCCACTTTGCGAACAATTACGCAATAGATACTTTTTCAGATAATCGCATCGACTGGAGCATCGTCGTTTCCAAGGACCTCGGTATCCCGGTCCAACCGTTACGCCACATCAAATTTACTTTCCTCCAAGAGATATCCACGGTTGTATCGTTTTCTCGAGTGTCTGCCCTTCCCTCTCTTCGAGAAACGACCAAACGTACTCGTGTATTGTCCCAAGACAAGGGAAGTATCTTTTGAGTCATCGTAGAACCGATGGATTTCAGAGATGCGTTACTTGCTACAACAAATGCTCGAAGAATGAAGTGAGCGGACTGGTAACGATGAAAATAGGTGATCCAGAAAATTTTTCAATGACTAAAACCAGTGTCAAATTACCTGTTTCGTCAACGAGTCCGCTATCGCGGCTGTTTTTCACCACTTTGAAAGTACGTGCGCACTCGGACGTGTGATAAATACCGGTCCCGCGGGTATTACAAATCAGATAGCATTCTACCTTCGGTAGTATGTTTTTTTTCTTTTTTTTTTTTTTTGTTTCCTCTTGCCTCCTTCACTATCCCCGCATGTTCCCTGAACTGTTCGACGTCCCGGATAAATGTACATATGTCGTGATGTTCGTGGCGATGTTCTCAGCGACGTAATCGAAGTTCGTCGAACGTACGCTGCGTGTACCGCGATCGAAACGTCAAAAGAATCGAATTAATTCTTCGTGGCGCGATCTCTAGTGGAATTCTGTCTTTGATCAGGTGTATCTCTTTATGACGCCGATCAAAGGCGAAGGAATCCGTCTAAGCCGGCTTTCTTATTGTAACGGAGACAAGCGAGCCAGCCATGTTCCTCGGCCAACGTCCAGAACCTTTCTTGGGGCTGTTATAAATTAGCCGAGTTTTATTGTGCCTTATGTTCCTGTCACGCCTTATACAGGGAACTTCATTTCTTTCCTCTTGAACGTTTAATAGATAAGCGACCGGTAAAAACATCCTGGTGTTGCTATTCAAGGGAAGTTCGTTTATTGATTCCGCTGCCTCCTAAGAGTGATTCGTTTCCCCTTATTCTCCACGATTAAGCGTTATCTTCTCACCTTTAGGATCTGACCGCTCGGAGAGAGGTAGTTCCTTTTGATGTCAGAGATGTGTGCAATATACGATAAGATATCGTAGATTGGCATTTGAATAATTTTTATGCTTCTAATAATATTTTTTGTTAAAAAAAATATCTTTTACTCCTAATTCTTTTTTTTATAAATTCTATAATTTGTACTTTCAACGTGTCAACGATCTTTCCTATTTTTCAATCAAATTTCTGGAAATTTTTATACAATTTTAGTAACATAATATAACGATATTCTCGCTTAATTATTTTAACGTCTCTTCAGTACTACAAAATAATTATGATTAAATAATCGAAGCTTTCAATTTAATTATTAAAAATTCTGCGATGTTTCTAGAATCAAAAACTACGGACTAATTACATCTGAACAGTTTCACCTCGTTTTGTATTAATCTTACGAGCCATGTAAATTTATCCAATTACGAAGAAGAAGCTACTATCAAATCAAGCCCGATCTTTCTAATTTGCACTCTTGTACCGCATTTTACCCCGTCCGGGTAAATTTTCAGTGACAATCTTGCGCCGTTCCATTTCACGAATACAAGAGTCAGCCAGATATATAAAGAAGTTGGACAAAAAGATTCTATGCGACGTTGGCGTTGGTAAAACAAAAATTACAGATGCGTGCTAGTGCGTTGGCTGCACTATCAACCGAAATGAAAAGCGTCCCAGTCGAGACAGAGAGGGGCAGGACGAGATAAGATCTACAAATTTCATACAACAACTCCGTCGGTGGAAGAGTGTTCCGTCGTGTCGAGAGATATCTTTTCCGAAATTTACTGTGCTTGTTTAGCCCGAATTAACGAGTACAATGGCGCCTTTCGAGATTGCTCCTGTCACGAGTTTCGTTTGTGACATCCTTGGAGTGTATTAGCCCGACTCACGCGTCCCGCAGGAGCAGTTTTCCTGGAAGTTTCATCCAAGTTTGAATCCAGTTATACCCTTTCTCTCTCGTCTGTCCGATAGGAGTCCCAGGTCCTGGTATGAGTCTGAACGACCAAGCAAACCTCACGATATCGCGTCCCCTTGCGATTATCCTTCTGCGCTGGGAGTTATCGCATTGCACCTGTTCCGACGACTTCACAATTAGCCGGTTTAGAGAATGTCGCTTGAAATTTTCCTACGTTCCAACGCTTGTTGCTATAGTCGGACGAATCACGAACGAACGAGAGTGGGATTACACGCTATGTGAAATTGCGACGATCTTGCTTGATATTATGTAATTGATAGTTGACTCTGGCTGACACAAATACGATTACATTATAAGACATATACCTGACAGATTTTTCAAATTCTCCAAGATTATACGTTGGAAAAAATATCGCGAATATTTAAGGAATCAAGATTAGTAGGACAAACTGTTTTATTTATACGGTGGTACGAAATTTAATTTTATAAAACAAAGTTATATTTGAAAAGAGCAATGAATAGATATAGTGTACGTGCAATCTAAAATACGATAGATAGCACTTACCGATATACTAACAAATGTCCAACAAATATGTTGCTTTCACATATATGTATAGAAAATACTAAATTTTAATATTCTTTCGTCTGCGTGTATATAAATTTTAAATTTATAACGTAGGTCACATATAAAAATATCAGACTTTGCGTGCTACTGGTAAACAATATTCCTGAAACTTTAGTATCGTTAGTGGTATAAAAATCATGTTGTAGGCTACGTAAATAAATGTGGCAGCGAGTTGGCTAACTTGTTTAAAGTTATGAGGAAATAACTAACTTTAATATTAGAATGAAGTGATTTCACAGAGAATGGAAAATAGGCGGATAGAAATTAAATTACGAATTTTAAATACAATTTAAAAGATGTAACGCTGTTAAAAGCTTTAATATAACTTACAAGCATAAAAATTTTACTGAATTTCCACAGCTTAATCTTTCTATCTGAAATATAATATAAAATCATGGAAATGGTAAATATAGAAATAGAGTTACCTTTTCTTTTCCATATGTATAAGTATACATTTTCATAGCAGTCTTCATGATTATTCGCTATCCTCTGTTAATAAATGTTTTACATGCATAAGGTTCGTGTTACTGCAAAGTTATATATGGATCGTTCGGTTTACAACTAACCACTAATATCTTACCCTGCAGTTTTGTACGAATGCCAAACCGAAGATGCATAGAAGCATATGCCACTAGCTGGAACGGCTGAGTGATGAGAATAAATATATCTCTAAAATTAAGCGCTTACAAGAAACTATGCAGCATCATAATTCAACTAATATTTTAGCTACTGCCAAATTGCAAGATTTATTACATGCTTATTATTTACAGGCTTTTCTAAATATCCTGACTTCTCTAATTTTCTTCGTTATGTCTCTACGTACGTACATTTGTCATAGTTTTCGTATTTGCATCTTTTTCAAGTTAAAAGATGCTGTAATTTTCTATTACTATTACGGGTGCCATTAACGTTAATTTATATAGCTATCTCAAAAGCAAGAAAATAATTTTTATCGATTGATTAAAATTATTTTTCCTTCGGGTATCTTTTTGTAGCTAGATGCATTGAAAGAATAAATGCATTTAGTGCATAATCCAATTTGTTGTTAGTATCATTGTTGAAATTTAAAGTAATATATTCTATCTAACTTGAACATATAATCGATAATGGAATATTTGATTTCTTAAGAATATTATTGTATCTTAAAGGACCTACTTGTGTTTCATGAAAATGTATGTAATTTAATGATTTCATTTTTTCAAACGTGATTGCGTTCTATTAGAAGATGCTTCAAGAAACAAAAGAAAGTATTTTGTCGACAATAACGTTATTTAACGGTGAATTTTTTAAGTTTGGTAAAGTATTATACTTTACGCATTTTCTTAGTGCATTTATGTTTCTCGTTAGAATTATTCGGATAAAAATGCCTGAAAGAAAAATAATTTCATTCGACCAAAGAATATCATTTTATACTTTTTAAAACGTTCGGAATATTGAAGTTCCTTCAAATATGATTTATATATTGTCAACAAAAATTGACACGAAACAATCATTAAAAATCTATAATTTTCAGCTGAAATAATTCCCAAATTCGCATTTACCTTCTGAAAATGCACCACCTATTCTTCAAGATTTCTATAATTCTTGGCGAAGCTAAATGTGGTGCGATTATCTTCGGCGACGCGTCGGTTCGACCAGTGTTTGTAAACGCGGTTGCCACTAAACGTTCCCGCGATATATCAAGCCGCTCTATATATAAAGCTTTTAAGCCCGGATTCTGTGCCTCCTCGTATAATTAGGACTCTAAGTGTTCAACGTAGGTGCTGGCACATATACCACCGAAGATACAATCTATAGGTTGTCATGAAGATCGTTTCCACAGATTATTCGGACTCACTCGGTGAGTCCACGTCGTTAATAAGGAACCCTGTGCTTTATTCACCGGTCTGCACGTGAACGCGATTCCCTTCTGCACGATCATTCACGCCAGATGAGATTCCTCGAGATCGTCGATCCGATCCCCGTGGCTATGGTTCGATCCCTTCGGTGAGCCAGCTGCATTTTCTGGTTGGCTGACTAAACCAGAACCTGTGAAAATGAACACACGTTAAAGCGAAGATGCTGTCGCGCCTTTAGAATTCTTAATCTGTCCCTTGCAGCACGTTACCAGGCTCGTTCCAGACGTTAATTTTCATTCGCGACTCGAAGATACCGAAAACGGTCTGAGAATCCTCGCGTCCATACTTTTTCGACGACGCGATGACAGAAAAGTTATTCACGCGGGAATTGTTTTTCCACTGGGCAGTTCGACGGTTGCGTTGGCTGGTTCGAGGTGATATTCGCGAATTGGGACGCTCGCAATACGAAACGTCGTCGCTGGAAACGTCGCCAAAGTTTCATCGGGGGATGAAGTTTATTTGTGCGTCAGGCGTTTATTTCACCGCGGTGCTCGCGAAGGAAAAGTTTCGAGCACGGACATATGATAAGAGTTCGGATTGTTCTAAGACGATTTCGGGAGGCGAAGTTGCTATAGTGGAAACG